CGTTTTACTACCATAGTGTAGAGTAGCTGGGCTTGCGTTCATATTTGTGTGTGTGTGTGTGTGTGTGTGTGTGTGTGTGTGTGTGTGTGTGTCCTTGTATGAAAAAGAAAAATGGCCCTCATCACTCGTCATGAAGCAGGAACCACTTTAAACTGACCTTAGCGAGTAACTTTAAGGTACTTTAAGGGCACTTTGACTTTGAGGGTTAGGGTTAGATACTTTGGCTATTCCAGAAGGCAGCTGAGCTTAAAATCAGAGAGATGAAGCTGAGCAAAATATTTACACAGTCGAGGCATCCTGACAGAACATTTTGCCAAGACCGAATTTATTAACTATCAACACAGAAGGACCCGATATCTAGTATGAGTTGAGAAATACTGTAAGGAAAAGTTATGAGGTAAAACAGGTCATGTGTAGACATTGTGACCATGATTACACTCTGAGTGGCTGATGGACTCAGTTCTGTCCAGACAGTTGTGCAGTCAAAAGGGTAAAAGGAAAATCCTTTGTTTCATCATCCACAAGCAGAAACAGAGAGGACAGAGAAAGACAGAGGTAGCAACAAGCTACCGACTACAGTCAGTCTGAATGAAACCACAAGAAGTAGTAAGTCTTGACATGTTTAAATATATTCAGCAGGAATTTGCATTGAACTTTGCTATTACATTGACACACTGTCACATTACTGTTGTGGGCCAAGAAATATTTGGTTGCGTAAACGACAGCAAAAGATAAATCACAACCCCCCCCCCATCACATATCATATGATGAAGAAATTCTGTTACAAAACACACTGTTTTACAAAAGTTGCTCATATGCTGGGCCCAATCCTCAAATCTGAAAACCCCAATCAAAAGCTTTTGATGTCAAAGTGTGTCATTATGATTTGCACAAGAATGTATAGATCAGGTCTGTTGAATGGCAGAGGAACAGGACCCAGTTGCACGACTTTATGGACAGTTACAGTGAGTTTATTTACAGTGAAAAAACTAAGTGCAAAACAGTTCCAACAAGATGTGATTTCCTCAGTGGTGATAGTCCCAGCTCCCGGTGGGTGCGGCGATTCCTAGAAAGAAAAAAAAAACTCCATAGTTCCTTCCAAAATATTTACAAAAGCCTTAGTGCTCTCTCCAAAACTCTCCACAGATTTGCTGGACACAGAGAGGACAGAGGGTTAATTTCCTTCGCTCAGAAAAACATGACAAGTTCAATTCTTTGCATGAGGCAGGGTTCCAATGGCTATTGTTAATCAACGATCCAGCGTTGACTGAAGCTCAGCCACTCTACTAAAGTGACCCTTGATGGCGTCAAGATCAAGGCAAGTGTGGATTATCAGCAGATGTGTGGCTCAAGAGCAGGAACTTCTTCAAGGTCCCTATGCTGCACAAAGACAAGAACACATGCATAGAAACATATACACACATACAGGAGGCAAAGAAAGAGCTAGAGGTGGAAGAAAAAACAAAAGAAGAAATGACAGGTTAGCCAAGCAAGGAAGGACCACGGCAGTATAACTGATGTCATTTAGCATTATGTAACCAATTCAGCCTATACTGTACTTTGACTAGTATGTAGACATGTCTTATGATGGATAAATGTTATAAATCACCAATAGCCTATGATGATAAAAGACTATCAATAAAAAAAAATCAGCATTTAATTATTTTAGTAACTATATTTTTTGTTTTGTTCTTCAAAAAAAGCCACACCTGCCCTCAGTTTTATGCACACAGACATAAAAGCACATGACAACAATATAACCATTGATCTCGATCCAATTAATATGCATTTCTTTATATGATGCCAATAAAGATAAAGCTCTTCTTTGGTGTGTGGACACCGAGATTTGTGAATGTGATATCTCAAGAATGAGCTGACATGGGAGCTTTAAATTAATACTATCAATACAGCTACTAAAAATCTTGGATGAGTTCAAATCTCAGTGAGTTTGACCTCAAGGTCTAAGGTCAAGTCTTATAAAAATCTTGTGAATGCGATAACTCTCAAATTCATACCATGGATGTATCTACTAAAAATCTTGAATGACTTTCAATCTCAGCAATCTTAAGCTCATAGTCAGAGTAAGCTTTCTGAAAATTTTGAGAAATCAATAACTTGAGAACAATGTGACGTAAGATTTTGAAACTGATGACACAGGTGTGTCTTCTGGAAGCTGAGGGCAGCACTGACCAGCATTTCTTTTGTTTTGTTGTTTGTCTGCCTGTCAATCTCTACTTAGGTCCACAATTTGCAATTCTTGACACTTTGAGGATTTTTGCATGTAAAAGGAGTCCAATGATAGTATAAAACAGTGGTTCCCAAACTTTTTTTGCTAGGCCCCCCTTTGTTTTACAAGAAAAATGTTCGCGCCCCCGCGTGCACGCGCGAACGCACATGCACGCACACATCCTCCAACCACACACACCCATATTTTGCTCCATTACGGTTTATTTCACACCTCAAACATTTATTAAACAATTAAGTAAATACAAGTAATCTGCAATAAATTACAGGTAGTAAGAAAAACTCTTTTACGCTACGTCCGCAACTACACGGGTATTTTTGAAAACGCAGCTGTTTCGTCCACATGTAAACGGCGTTTCGAATCACCGAAAACGGAGATTTTTTTAAAACTCCTTTTTTGCTGTAAGTGTGGGCGAGGAATACAGAGTTCCTCATGCAATGTCAAAGGTATGTGCCCGTTCACGTCACGCTGTGCGTCACGTTATTGTTTACATGAGATGAATTGCAGAATGGAAGATAGAGACAAAATACTGTTACTGTTAATCTGACTATCTTCGGGTTTTACAGCTTACATACATACACGCAGTTACTCTCCCTCCATGTAGTTGTTTTTTCCTGTGTAATAATATTCAACATTGCTATAATATCAAAAAATGCCTCTCTGTGCAAAATGGGTTTAAAAACATAAACAACTGTGGGATACTGGTTGTCTGTGATTTGAATCGGGGACAAATCGTGGCAGGATCAGCCTGATATTATTTGTATCCCGCTGTAACTTTACTGTATAAAGAGCTAACATCTCCAAAATGTCAGGAGTAGTTAGTCATTACAACAAGTGTTTGTGAACTAAAACTCAAGAATGTGGGATACTGTTTGTCCGTGATTTGAAGAGCCCAGCGCTGTTCCCTATGAAGGGAAAACCAATTCTGCAGGGGAGACCTGCCTCGGCACTTGTGCAGGTGAAGCCAAAGGGAAGATATGCTTCACCATATTTTCTAGTCTTTGGCTTAGAATGAAGTTGGTTTGGAAAATTTAAAAATTTAAAAATGACCACCGGACTTGACCTCATTACATTTTGCTAACGGGTTTATGGGCCCAGTCACTCACTTTAGTTAATTTTAAAAAAAGGAGTCTAAAAAAGAAAAACAACGAAGCGCCTTGTTGTTGTGATTTGTTGCTATATAAATAAAACTGACTTGAACTTTATGTTTTACTCCTCCTAAGCAAACTTCCACACACAATTTAAGAGGGAGATCCACCCTTCACTCGTAACATCAGTTTCAACTCATCCGGATCGAGATGGAGAAATTGCACATCTTCATGTGTCAGAATTCATAAACTGTGGCTGCACATATCTTTTATTGCTGTCGATGAGTCTCAAAACCTGCATGCAAAACATGACATTTGTCCACAGCAGGTGATCCGTGCATGCGCATTTAACCATCTTTTTTATGATATTTTTACGTGCACAAAGCTCTTTGAACATAAAAAGGATCAGATTTGTGGAACCAAAAAAATTTACGTTTCTGTGCAAATGATAAATATTCAAGTTCAAAGATATACAAAATATTTTTATATGATATTAGATGTACATGTCCTCAAATGGCTTTTTACTTATTAGTGAATGTTACTTATTAGTCAAAGCACGCATTTGTGAGTACTCAATGTAACACAAAAAATCACAGATTTGTAGATTAAAGCGCCAGAGTCCATTTATACCATATATGACACAAGGGAGAATGGGCCCACTGGACATGAGTGTATGGGTAATTCTTCAAAAATATATATAAAAAAAACAAAAGAAACAAGCATTTCTAGGCACGTAAATTAAATTAAATAATTTCTGCTGTTCATACCCGAAAAATTCAACTCATATATGGTGTGCAGTGTGTGCCAGATTTGGACACATTGCACACCTGAATATTTATTTATTGAAAGTGCAGACACTTTTCACTGTTTCACTTCAGAAGCATAAATCTTTGCACAGGTGATGTGTATATATGCTGTTTAATGATTTTTTGATTTAAAATGTGAACTAAAGCATATTTTTAAAGGGGTTACATGCTCAAAAAAATTTTAATTCATTAATTAAGGGAGGAATAAATCTACTTACTTTTTCTGTGTTCCAGCCTCAGTAACTTTGACACAGTAACACCTGCTGTAATATTTACACCTCTGATGAAATCTCACAAGTGTTCGCTTTATTTTGATACCAAGAGTGTTTACACAGAGTTTGTTCAGAGAGAGGAAAATAATGAGGAAGATAATTTTTTAATGTGAAGGCAAATATTTTCTGACATTTTAAAGGCTCATTATAATATAAAAAGATCAGATCTTACATTGAAGAGATTTTTGTCTTTTTTGTGTTTACATGTGCTCCTTAAACAGATTCACTGAGAATCAACTTCTGAATGTCTTTCCAGCAACGCCAAATCTTTTTTTGTTAAGTGATCATTTAGCCAAACAGTGCTGTAACCTAGTAACAACTTATCTTTAATGACTGTAATTTAGTTGGAGTTAACC